TGATTGTTTGAGGCTTTGAGACGACAGGTTCAAGGTTGAAGGTCTTAAACATCCTTGCTGCCTTTTTTTCTCTCAATCTGCACAAAGTGTCAATTTTAGTCTCAAGTTACTTTGGCTTGCAGCTACTGAAATTGGGGTTTATATAACATGATTTAACCAAATGTTATATCAAGCAAGATCATTCACAGGTGGGATTGGAAAAACGTGGAGTCAATAGCAGGTGCTTGGTACAGCCCATCTTGTGGCTTGCGCTCTACTTGGAGGACTCATTCAATAGATACAGCCGGAGGAAACAACTGAACAAATGAAGGGCAAACTTGTCTGTGAAATGCTTATGTTACAAAAGAACATTTTCGATTTTCATATGTTTCAAGTCGAAACTGTTTGTAGGCTATACGTTGTCCTCCCCCACATCTGAACCATGTCGGATAAATCGAGTTAGTCATCCAAAGTCATGATGTTAACGCAACGCATACTTTCTCATTGGGTTGGATGAAGAGAACATCTAAAGAAAACTCTGGAGATGTTTTTTTTTCTATATATTCCCGGCGTTAAATCTAGACATGTCCATAGATGTTCTTTCTATTCCTGGATATGTCGGATTGCGGGGGTTTTCTAAAATAGGGATACCTCTAAATCATCCCAATAGGATGTTCCATTACAAACCATCCATTTTGTTCGATATGTTCTTTTCATCCTGCACACCCAGGGCTGCAGGCAATTCTGAGACCCGAGCTTTTGCTCCTGACGTCGCTTTGCACAGTACCAATGTGAATGCGGCGGGGTGCGGCGGCGGAAGCCGTCTCCGCGACACATGCGTCTCTCTAAATCATTCTTTACCAACGGTACATACCTTTTCTCTCATGTAATTTCTCCAGCTGTTTGCCAGACGTCTCTGAATTTAAGGCTTCATCCATGGTATGTTTGAGTGCATGTACCCAATCTACCCACCTGCAAACTAGCACGGACCCCGCGGAAAACGAGCCGCCGGGAATTCAACAAGAAACCCAAACATGGTAATGTCAAAATTTGGGAACCCCATGAAAGTTTTCTTGGGGTATATGGGGTCTATAGCTACTAATATCCAATACACTTACACAATCAATTTTGTTCTTTGATTCCTTGGACGTTTAGGATTTGTTCGCTTTTCCTGCCCTACTCCTCACTTACTGTACTATGAATCTGAACTACTAATCTATTAATTATGTGACACACATAGTAACTATATACATCACCATCTTTGTCGCAAACAACGTAAGTATATAGTATTTAAGACATATAATGCATAATTATCATTTTTTTCCCGGCTGTAATTCCACATCTTTGCTGGGGTGGTCATGTTTTCCAATGGCCTTGCTCAGCTGCATGATGCGTTCGCGTGCCATCTTCACCTGCTTACAAAAACTGACAAAACTGGGGGTGGACCGAAAAAGGAATGTCATGACACATAACAGCCAGTGTATGTACGCAATTTCAATCACATCCATGCACACATATGCATATTATATCATATTAATTCATATTATACTTATGTAAATTTCTATACAGTATGCGCGATCACTAACAACTTGTCTGTAAGTTCATGCATATCTGGGCGCGTGCAATGAGTATGTCTATCCGTGTGCATGTACATGTGCATAAGGTGATGATGATGATGATTATGATTATTACTATTATTATTATATATATATATTTATTTATGTACGCATATGTATGCACTAAATAAATACATTTGCGCATATCTACAGTAATTCATTGCATTACCAAGACGCATGGGACAGTATTGTAAGCAACAAATATGTTTGGTTTTAATCCAGCTGTTCATGTGAGTCAAGTGGGCTGCGGCTACAGCAATCATATACAACAGTCGAAAAAGGGTGGATCAAAATCAAAACACAGCTTCCAAATCAAAACGCTGACCTGCAAACCATTGCAAACCTGCAATTTGCAGCAAATCCAAATCGGTTCATTTTTAAATCACTGGTAGCTTTTCGATACTTTTGGATGAATTGACAACTATGACCCGTCTGACCCCTTGCAAAACTATCCAACATTATCCAACCCATTAGCTCAACTATGAAAGGACCCGATCTCCAGAGTGACACCTCGGCACCCATGAAGACCCACACGGAACAAACACCTCAGCTCAAAGCTTTTCGAAGCTGGATCTGGGTTGGGAAAAAACACATGAAATCCCCAGTTTCTTACCATTCAAATAAAGAGGTCCTGCCAAAAAAGAAACAAAATCTGCCAGGTGCTTCATGGTGGAAGGTGTTCATGGCCAAGTTCGGGAGGAGCCTTGTACCATGTACATCCTGCCCTTGCCAGATCTTGGAAGATTAAACATGACATCCTAGAACCCCAAAGAACCGATACGTATCTATCTATCTATCTATCTATTCTAATCTAATCTAATCTATCCTATCCTATCCTATCTATCTATATCTATTTCCTCTCGTGATTTTCCCCGGACTCGTTTCTAGGGATTCTTCACTACCGGAGGGTTTTCTAGGGCCCTTGTCAAACAAACCACTTAGACCCAACCCTGACATCTGAGTTCGAAGGCTTTGTGGTAACGGGATCACCTGGCCGGAGTGTCACCCCACAGTTCGATGGGGGGTAATAAACCCCGGTGGGCCGTATTTGGTGATGTGATTTTTGACGTGGGATGAACATAAAATTATAACCCTCTCGAGGTTTCACACTTTGGTACGGAAAATCACCATATTCTTAATAGGTACATCATCGAACGAAATGGACCATCTATAGCAATAAAGCTATGTAACAAGCTACTGGAGGGTATGCGGTGTGACACCTTTGAAATCCCATTAACATTGTCCCAAACTTCATACATATCCATTCATATCCCATTAATCTATAAAACCCAGCAAAATCCACATGATTGTTGGCTAAATCCCTATTGAATCATAAATTAAATTAACCTGAAACCTTTCAAATCCCATGGAAAATCTCATCATGACCTTACGCATCCTTGGCTCCGTCCTTGGCCACTGCGAAGAAGAAAATGTCGTCGGAGGGGTATCTGAAATACTCCTCGCCAGGGGGGCCTTGTGGGGACAGATGTCAAAAGTTGGGGGATACCCTCCGATCAGCAAACACGGCAATGAAAAAACCACCATTTAGTTCGATGTATTTCGCAGCGATTTCCATGTTCACGTTTGATGGCCAAAGGCCTAAAAGTATCTCCGTTCAAACCTAGGGGGAGACGTTGTACTTAGGCATAATACAGAATTCACAGCCTAGGTGGCCTAGGTGATCTACAAAAATCACTGCATGAGGCTAGCTGACCCTCTGCAAAATGCATCGCGTACCCAAATGCCGCCACTACAAAAAGAACAACTCTTTATGTCCAACCCCCTTGTTGGTATTTGTAACCAATTCTCACAAACAAAATGTCACCATAAAAAATGAACCCTATCTATCCCCATCTCATCACTCCCTTCAGATGGCTACATTTTAGTGTGGCACGACATGCGTGCTCGACCTCGGGGGCCTTCTACTCGATCCAAACGTGCTTCTACTACAATCATGTGGAAATTCAACACGGAGTTCAAAAGGTGCATTTTTGCTACAATTACCTCTTGCGCAAGACACTTTGCTACCTACTTTTCAGGTGGAATATATGTTTTGCCGTCCTTTTTGAGAAGGAAATTTCAATGGGCCTCCAACAATGCATTTGGATGGGAAAACGTATGATAAACCATGGGATGATACAGGATTTATATGGAGCAAATATGAGCAAATGACCATATTTGCAGACAAAGCCAGCTCAGCTAGCTGTCCTGAATGGGAGCGCAGCCCATGATGCACTTCCGAATCTCCTGCAGGGGTTCGTGTCTCACAACAAAGGGTCCTGGGTGGTTCGGGGATGTTAGGGGTCTGAGGCAACGCACTGGGTGGGAATGTTGGAAGCAGCTACAACCAAAACCTGCTCAAAACTGATGAAGTTTGGACGAAGCTGGCAAAGGGTCTAAAAACACTAAATATCGAATATATATATATATATATATATGAAAATATCTCAGGGGCGTGAAGTGACACCCAAAACAACATGACCAGGTTGAAACAACAAACTGCTGAGATCAAAATCTATGTCAAAGAAAGTTTCGAATCTCGGTTCCTGCCACTGAATCTCCACAACTGGACATCAACCAACCCAAACATTATTATATATAGCAAACTATTGCATCTCCGGATCCATTATCCCAAACAGCTGATAACTTGGATTGTATCATCCCCATCCATCCCCGAGTTTTTGCGTGATCAGTGATCTCCTTGAGATCAGTGCTCGAGAAGTGCAGTGGCACACCACTTAGGACCTCAGAGTTTTTGTCGCAACGAAGAAATCGAGCGGCTCGAGGTCTGGCATATTTCACCCACAGTTTAATAGGGATAGTTGGGACATGTGAATATTATACATGTCTTAGAAGCCAACAATATCAAATTTGAGTTTGATCAACCAACAATAACGAGTTTGATGATTGCCCCAATGCTAATTGCAACAAAACTGGTCGATGTGGTATGATTTGGTAACATTTTACCATATTTCACCTGTCCATATCAAAGATTAGTCATGACTTCCCTGAACCCACCCCCATGCCATGAGCTCCGAGCGTGGTTTTCCTTCACCGCCAAATATTGGCCTTGCGCGCGCCAGGTTGTTGGGATCTCTAAGAAGACTGTTGGAATCATCTTCCCAAAAGAAACTACATTTTAACCAAGATATCCATGGATATCCGGATATCCCAGGTAGGGAAAAACAAGACATTTCAAACACCCATTTGCAAGTAGTGGACCTTGCCTCACCACGCTAGCCATGAGAACGTGTCACCCCAAATCTCGGTGACCCGAATGAAAACATGTTTAGGCAACTGGGGGCACTTTCAGAGCCACAAGCGGTCTTAAGTCCGAGAAAAATCTTGGCGTCCCAACGAGCAGTCTTAAGTTTGTTCTTCTCTTGCCAGTGGCTACCCCACGCTTCACCTAGGCCAAAGAGAAGTCAATGCCTCAATCCCTCGGAGCTGGCAAATTTCAACAAAATACCTTGTTGTTTTGATAATTTGGTTTAACCAGGTATCTAGCAGCAGGGAACCCCTCCAAAAAACACCAAAAAGGCCCTCCCCTCCTGGGGCTCCCAACGACAAGACCTTGGGGAACATCCACGAACGGCTTCATGAAGTTTCCCGCAACACCATCTCTCTATAAAATATAGATTGTAAACTAGTATAAACACACACATATATATATATATGTATATGTACAATATACAATATGTATGCACATGTATGTAAGCATATGCATGTCGTATGTGTATATATATATGTGTGTGTGTGCGCAGGTGCGCATCTATGTGATACACAGTGTGTGTATATATATATATGCATATGGATCATATGAAAATATAAACACATGTATGTGTACTATTGTATACTGTATGTGGACATTTCGTGATAATTATGTCACAGTAAAGTGTGTTTTAACACTTCAACGACTTTTGAGTCAACATATGTAGGATCCACAGGATCGCGCACGAACAACGTGTTTGATTATGTTTGATTTGTGGTTTGCGAGATTTGAGAGGTCCAACTGATGTTTTCAAAGAATTCTAGTGGCTGCTTCCTGCGGATTTCAATACATTGGTCGATTGTCACATAACATCGTTATGGAACCCTTAACACAGTGTCACACCGCTGAAGCTAATAGGGTTTGGTAACTTCGACCAATCTCAGATCCCCTGGCAGAAATGGCGGGTTAGTAAATATTCCCAGTTATGGCATGTTATGGCGACACTTTTGCAAGCTTTCAACTGTCAGTTAGTTCACCTCATTGTTTTGAAGCAAAGAAAACCCACTGGGAACCAGGGCGTCTTATACTCGGAGGCGTTGAAAGGGGAAGGTGCACCCCAGGGCTTCAAGCCCTGATCCTGCTGCGTTCGACGCTTGTAAAATCATATCAACTCAAGTGAAATGGAGGTTTCCATAGTCATGGGGGTACCCCCACATGGATGGTTTATAATGGAAAATGCCATTAAAATCATTAAAATGGATGATTTATCCTGATATAACGTCCTCACTCTGAATATATCTGAATAGATCAATACATCAATGCCAAATCAGGGTTTTCAGGGGTGGTGTATAGCAAAAGGGGATGTGAGAAGTAGAAAGACCAAGAAAACACATGTTGAAGCATTGAGCCGCATGTGGATGAGCCATTCATTTCAAACACATGCTCCTCCGTTGGGCCCCTATCATGCCAAAGGTCCCCCATCTAGAAACCCTCGTGTACTGTTAGATCTAAGATGATCTAAGTAATTCCTCAGTTTTGTGCTCCATCTGAAGGATTTTGTTACTACAGTAGCACCCACAAAAACTAGAACCATTGATTGGGCCCGGCACCAATCACCCCAACATTCTACTCAAAAAGATGAGTGGGGATAGGTCAAAAAGGTCAAAAACCTTTCATACCAGAATCTACCACATATTCTGATGTTCTCCAGATACCAGGCTACCGTTCACACACTATGAACTAACCTGGCAGGTCCTGGTCATCATAGGCCCAGTCGGAGTCCAAGACACATTCCTTCTCAAGGTGAAGCCTGGTAGCTGATGGATAACGATGAGACATACTGGGAGACACATATGGAGATATATTTATATGTGGAAAACAATGTACATTTGAAATGTGACCATTTTGGATATATTTAATATACATGTACTTTGGGATAGAAACCGGTCAAATGTAGTAAGAGTTAGTAATGATATGTACTGATGTTCCTGGCAAATCACTTGCTGATATTTGCTGATGACCAACCATGCAATCTGTTTGGGGAACTGCCGCAATGTGGATGCCTTTTTGGATTAGCCCAACCACCTGATACGGGAGTATGAACAGGACCTGTCTGACAAGCATGAACTCGGCATTAAAAGAAACCACTATGCTATGATTATAGTAGGTATAATACCTGTATATATATATATATATGTGTACATATATAGTGTGCATATAATTGTGCATATATATATATATTTATTTATTTATTTATTTATACACATGTCTTTTTCGAGTCCCGGACGCAATTAACCCCTAAGTTTAACCTCCCAAAATACCAGCAACATCAATGAACCAGTTCCATGATCTTTCCATGCCTTTCACAGACTGAGAGACATCGTCCTCAAAGTGGAGAGTTTTACTGTTTTACTGGTGAGCTGTGTCTCTGGTCAGGCCCCAGATTATATCTATAACATCAAAGAAATAGTACACTCCACCGACTGACATAGACCCTGCCATCTGGCCAAATTGGGGTTGGAAAATCAGTGTCCGCTAACAGTTGGCTATTTTCAGGGTCCAGATATGTTAATTTGGTGGAGGGTAAATGCTACACCTGGCCAGAACGTACTCGCTGATCAGCCCACAACTCTGACCCATAGTCCTAGGCTGGCTGAAATATCTCCCCGAGAAGTCTTTTACGTAGTCAAATGGCACATAACAAACATAAATGAATGAAACCACCAGCCAAATCTCGCAAGAAACATATTTTTTGGTAAAATCCAAGCCGCTTGGGTGGTCACTTGGCCATATCCGAGCAGATCAACCCAGCAACAAATAGGCGCGGAGGGCTTCATCGCGGACTTCACTGTCTTCGTAGGCACTTTCGAATCCAATGCGCATGCGAATCATCCGAATCTGGGCGAAGAGACGGTGGCTGGGCGCCTGAAGATTTTGAAGTATGCTTGACTTACATACACACACACATGTATATATATTTATATTATAATTATGATATATATATATATATATGTGTGTATATATATATTTGCTCAAATACAAAGTGAGTCAAACATGGCCCACATATTCTCAAACTTTGAGGTAAGATGCCAACTGGTATTCATACCAGGGAAATCCTCTTTCTTTATATGCATGTATATATATATACACACATTAACGTCATTTAATCACCAAGTGTATTTGTTGATAAGTTGTCATCAGCTTAGATCAACGAAAAAGTGCATATCTTGGACACATATGGTGAGCATTAGGAAACAACAACATATTTTCTGACTTTCCCGGCAAATAAACATCATTTTGTGTCTCCGTCTGTCAAGAAATGACAGTGTAACCAACAAGATCTTAACCCCGAAATATTTTCCTATGACTGCGATTTTTGATGGTGAAATCTTCATGTTTGATTGTCAATTCACATTAAGCACATCTCGGAATTCATGGTTAAAGCATGTTAAAGCATCATCTAATCTGATATCTTTGGTGGTTCAATCAGTTCAATCACCATTCTTGATGGCTATCACATGCTATCACCATCCCAACCGGGCATCCCAACGTTTTCTTTTAATTCATTCTCAATGTTCCTCTCCAGGGCCTCTGCTGTGTGACTGGAGACCTTAGGACCTCAGTGGCGTCATCGTACAACATGACCAATCACCACTTAACAAATACTTTTTTTGGGAGAATCATGGTGACAATTCAGTGGCTGCCATGGATGGTTTTGGGCTGCCCACTTTTGGTCCAGTACCCTATGCTACACGATTTTAAGACTCATATGAGACCTATTGGGTCCCCCAGAAGTGATGTTTACACAACCTGTTGATGGGCTTATCACTTGGCAGCTTGGGTCAACACCACTGGAAGTACCAATGTACCAAAATGCAGTTGGCCACAATTGGATACAATTGGTTAGACTGCCCTTGCTATAGTCACAGTTGTAGCTGTTCGTCTCCGGGAAAAAATCTTGTGACTTTTGACTCGCTTTCATGTTGTTGTTTTTTTTGGGCAGCTTCATTGGTTTCACAGACACACACTCACATTTTGTTGGAATCACCGTTCTTGTCCGATTGCAAACTGCCATCACACCACTTTTCCCTGGTTCATGCGGGGCATCTTACCAACCATCATCGGTCAAACATCTAATCTATTCATACCTGACAGATCCTGACAGCATTTGAGACCCTCACCCACAGGAATCGCCACATCCTGTCGAGGAAGTCAGGCTTGTGAAAGGCTGTGAACATCTGTAGGAGCACTCGGATTTGGAATCGCAATGGCGTGCATGCAACTACAAAAACACATAAGTTACACACACACAGAATCACACATGTATATACGATAGCAGCCGCCGTGTAAGTGCACATGTGGAAAGAGAGAGGCAGGAATGCGCTATGATGCGCTAATAGGTATGTTGAACATATTTAAGTTTTAGCAACCTTGAATAAATTGTGCAAGCTGGGACTGGGGAGTATGCCATTCCCCTGTACAAAATACACCGTTATGGGACGTTGACACCTGCAACAACTATCCGACACTATCTGTTTTTCAAGGTATTTCAGGGAGTTCGCGTAGATATGATCCCCTTCTTACAATCCATTTGAAACCCATCATTTCTTCTGGACTGTACATCCCATTGGTTTCCGATCCAATCCCCTGGATTACTTTCTCGGTCCTTGCCCAAGTACATCTCACCCTTCAGGGCGGACAACTCTGCGCTGGCCAGGGGTTCCCAGGAGTTTTTATCCTGGGAAGACCATCGTCGCGGTGACGGAACATAGCGGCAAACGAACCGATGGTCGGAGATGTTCAGGTATGGTTTCAGCATGTTTCAGCAACACGATGCAAATCCTAGAATCCTGCAAGACTTTCGCGTTGATAATGATGCCGTCTATTCACATCTATTATGATCTATTCTACAAGCACGCCAGTTGTTTGCCAATTCAGAGGGTCTCTGCTGACTGAAATGCTCCACAACCTGCAGACTACTGTAAATCCTGATTACATCACATAATTCACCAAAGTCCTAGTTATGTTTTATAAGTCGGTTTATTCTTGAGCCGGTCACTCTTGACCCACTCTGCAGTAACTTCGAGTGCCACCCGGAGAAGAACCACTATCCAAGTCCCAGAGGCGATCTCCATGTCATAGAAGATGCAGCCCTTGGAGATCTGGCTGAGAAACAACAAATACACATCAACTA